GGGGACCGTTTAATCTGGCGCGCCGCCGGAAAGGAGAGGGCGGCTTCCGGGACCCGGCTGGCGGGCGCTTTGTCTCGCCTTGGCCACCGTAGGCTCTTTCTGTGAGTCTCCGCTGCTGCTTCCTGGCTCTGGGAGGCCCGGTGGCTCTGCAGCAGCCTCTGCCACCCTGTGACCTGCGGGTATTGGGACATCCCTAGCTGACGCCGGGACACCCGGGGAGCCGAGGAACGGTGAGTGGACTGTGCCTGGCTTCCCGAAGTGGGGAAGAGGGCTGGGTGAAACCTGCTGGGACCAGCCATCGGCTGCGGAACCTGCGGATCGAGTCGCGGCGGCGCAGCCGGGCCTCAGTCCGCTTCTGTGCAGGGCCGGGCGGCGCGGGCAGCGGGACCCCTGCGTCCTGTCTGTACCTGTGGGCGCCGCTTCCGCCGGCGGGAACCCTCTAGGGAACCCTGCGCCTCCCCCACCCAGGTAGTGCGGTGACCACGGGAGGGTGATCCGGGAGAGCCCGGCTCGGTGTGCGGGGTTCCAGCGTGGGAGGAGCTGTGGTTCATGGAGCTTCCAGTCCCACCTTTCTCCCCCTAAAATTAACCTGAGGCTTTGTTAAAACGTTAAACGGCGTGTTTGAGCAAACGCGATTCATAAACGGGTACCGCAGTCATGGTTTGTGGTTTGGGGTCCACGAGAGGGGCGTAAATGAGAGGCTTTGATAAGGTAAATGAGGAAGCAAACCATACATATATACACACACATATATATACACATATATACATATATATACATATATGCATATATATACACACATATGCGCATATATATATATATATATATATTTTTTTGTGTGACTGTCTCTCCCTGTCGCCAGGCTGGAGTGCAATGATGCAGTGTCAGCTCACAGCAACCTCTGACTCCGGGGTTCAAGCGATTCTCCTGCCTCAGTCTCCCAAGTAGCTGGGCTTACAGGCGCCACCACCACGTCCAGCTAATTTTTGTATGTTTAGTAGACACAGGGTTTCCCCATGTTGGCTAGGTTGGTTTAGAACTCCTGACCTGAATTGATCGCCCGCTTCGGCCTCCTAAAGCACTGGGATTACAGGCATGAGCCACCTTGGCCAAAATATTTTTCTGTTTCCAAACATTTTACATGAGAGGAAAGTAGAGAATAAATAATCTGACACTCTACTGTAAAAAAATCTTTGTGTCTCTCTTCTTTTCATCTTTCCTAAGTGTACATATGACCCAGGATACCCACAGTGGCCATGTCTATTGGAGGGTCTAGTGAGTATCAGTCCCGGGGTCACCTCATCCCCAAGGACAGCCTGAGGTAGGGGGTAGAGTCTCTCAGGGGAGCAGCTGGATGCTCTTGGCCTTAGAGGAATCTCTTGGTATAGTTTCATCTAAAATGGTGACCCTTTAGGGTCGTTAAAATTTTAGGACATTAAAATTAATGGACAATACAATGTAATGTCATGAAAGGTCATTACAATTATTCCTCCAGCCCGAGTTTTTATTCCTCGGAGACACATTGTTGGTTTGTCAATTGGATGCTGATATTGAGAGGAAAAGGCAGAAATGATTTCTGCTCTCTAGATTGTCTCAGACTTGTGAAGAGAGAAAAACTGTCCCAAAGGACAAGGAAAACCCACCCCAGAGAGGATGTGCAAGAACCTGAATATTAAAATGCACTTAAGGCCCACAGGAGGACAAAGAGCAGTGCCAGTGCCTCCTAGGTGGTCACTGAGTACTTTACTGAACAGGATGGGTGTCCCGAGGGATGGAATGGCCTGCTGTGACACTTAGAAAGGTCTGTGTTGGAGTCAGCACTGCCTCTCCCTGAGTTTGTTACCTTTTAAAGGCTTGTCCGCTTATTTGAGTTTCAGGTTTTCACTGACTGTAAGATACATTTTGTCAGTACAACTTGAAAGATGAAAATACTATTTCCAAAGAGGCAAGGTAAAATGATGTATTTTATTTGTTAAAAATTCGTATTTATTTCTCCCCCAGAGTGAGTGTAGTAAGTTTTAAAGGTCTGTACTTTTTAAGGGTAATTTCAAATGGAATTGTAGCACTTAGCTTTGTCAATGCTACTGGTGAACTAAAAGTGTGATAGATAAATTGATGATTTACAAAGATTCACCAAAATGTCAATTCCCCTCTTGTAGCTTGGTGAAGAATTTATGACAGTGGACACGTCTGTATCCTCTTATCTGGATATCTGAGTGTTTTTTGTTGTTGTTGTTTGTTTTTAGGAGACGCAGTCTTGCTCTGTAGCCCAGCTGGAGTGCAGTGGCGCTGTCTCTGCTTACTGCAACCTCTGCCTTCTGGGTTCAAGTGATTCTCCTGTGTCAGCCTCCCAAGTAACTGGGATTATAGGCACCCACCACCACACCCAGCTAATTTTCGTATTTTTAGTAAACACAGGGTTTTAGGCCTGGCACGGTAGCTCATGCCTGTAATCCCAGCCCTTTGGGAGGCCAAGGTGGGCGAATCACGAGGTCAGGAGTTCCAGAGCAGCCTGGCCCACATGGTGAAACTCTGTCTCTACTAAAAATACAAAAAAATTATCTGAGCGTGGTGGCAGGCACCTGTAATCCCAGCTGAGGGAGGCTGAGGCAAGAAAATTGCTTGAGCCCAGGAGGTTAAGGTTGCAGTGAGCCAAGATCTTACCACTGCACCCCAGCCCAAGGGACAATGTGAGACTCCATCTCAAAAAACAAACAAACAAACAACAAAAAGACAGGGTTTTGCCATGTTGGGCAGGCTGGTCTCAACCTCCTGACCTCAAGTGATCACCCGCCTCAGCCTCTCAAGGTGCTGGGATTACAGGTGTGAGCCACCATGCCCGGCCCACTCTATTTTCTTTTTATTTTCTAAATTTTAATATGTTTGAGTTTGTCTGTTCCTTTATCACTTTTTTCTTACATAAAAAAAATTCTGACTAATCCTTCGTAAAAAAAAAATCGTCCTGTGACTTCTGAAAGTGTTCTGGTTTTATCTTTCATATTTGAATATATAATAAGCTGATTATTGTTCATGGAATAGAGAAGAATGCAATGCATGTTCCCAAGTAGATGCCAACCTGGTTTGCCTCATATTTTAAAGTGCATGTGATTTCTTTTTCTATTCTACAGTGCCTACTGTGTCATTCCTCAACTTTCCGTATAAATGCTGGATCATTAAGACTTTTTTTCCCCTTGGTCTACTTGCTCATCTCTCTGCTAATACTGTGCTGTCCTGAATATTTTTGTTTGAAAATCTTAGAAGTAGGTTAGACAAGCCATCACTCTTTTTTTAGATGACTAAAAATCATCAGAGAGTTGTCATTTTTACCATGTATGAAAGAGTAGTTTTTCTTGCCTAAAACCACCTGATTTGGGAATTTATGTGTTTTCATAGGAATGGCATCTGGAAGTGGTGACATTCATGTCATTTTAAAAAACATGTGTCATATTTCCTTTTATTCTTTTCTGCCTTGACATTGTGCAATAGAAATTTGAAAAATTGTTGTATTAGTATTGTTAAATATCAATTATTGTTTTATTTGCTACTCAATGAAATTTAATAAGCCTATTCTCTCTTGGTGTAATCACATGGAATGGGCTCACCTCCCCTGTTAACAAGTGACAGCACATGTAAAATATTGTCTACCAGGGAAACTCATTGAACACTTAGTGTTCAGACTGTGTTTTTGTGTCTGGTTCCCTAAGCACCACTGCAGTGACACAAAATAATAGGCCTTCAGCAGAAGAAGTTTTGGCAAGTATATTGCACAAGCCATTTAGATGCAGTGAGTCATTCTTATTGCATGGGTTGGTGGAATCCCTTTCAAAATGTAAGTTCCTAATACAAACAAAGATTGAACTTTGTGGGCAGGCCTTTTTAAGAATAAGTAGTCTCAGGACTGATAATATTAACTCACTTATGCACATCAGGTAGGACTTTAGTATGACAGATACTAGAAATGTACAAAGTGAAGTTAAAAGGTAACTCCTGGCAGCACATCTTACTCCCTGGATTCTCTAATGAGATGGGTGTTTCTACTTTGCTGTTGCCGTTTTGAATAGTTCAATTCTAGCATCAGTACTGCTGTGTGGGAGGGAGAATGTGTGAACAGAGTAAGAGTTGTGACAATCAAGTCATAGAATAAATGCTTAGAAATTTTAGAATCACGTAAACAGCTTATGAATTGAGTATAGATTCCCAGTGCTCTCAGTCTCACTCATCCTTCTATCCACATGTGTGGAATGTTCTAGGACTCCATGGCTTTTGAGGATGTGGCTGTGAACTTTACCCAGCAGGAATGGGCTTTGCTAGATTCTTCTCAGAAGAATCTCTATGGAGAAGTGATGCAGGAAACCTGCAGGAACCTGGCTTCTGTAGGTAAGAATGGCAACACATTTCACGTAATTACAGAAGTATTTCCCTATCTTCAGTGCTATTTGTGATTTGGAATGGGGCAAGGGAATGATTTGGTGAATAAATCAGGCATGGGCACTGTGTACAATGAACATGAAATGCAGTAATGTTTCTATAGTTTGAAAGACTTCATCATAATTTTGTGGGTCTGCATTTTAGGAAACAAACGGAACGACCAGAATATTGAAGATCACTTCAAAAAGCCTGGGAAAGATACAAGATAATTTGCACTGAGAAGAGGAAATAAAGTCCTCTGAAGGAATCTTAGCATGTCATGAATTTAAAAACAAGCAATCAAAACAAATAAGAGTCACTTGAAATTCATTTCTTTTTAGAAAAATTTCACCCAAAATGTAACGTACTTCAGTGTAGCAGTCAGTGTTTGGAAAACAGTTTACTTGAAAATAGTATTACAAAATTGCATACATGAATGTTACCATTTTGGTCATAACCATGCAGGTGGTAGCTGTGTTTTCAGTAGTAGCCCATTTACTTTCAAGTAATTCAGTCGTGGCACAAAAACAACAACAAAAAAACACAAAAATCAATTTTCCCTGGTATTGGTAGCAGTGTAAGTCGAAGACCTATGAATAAGTAGAAAGTTATTAAACCAACCAATAGTAATGTGCTTGTCTTTTTTTTTTTTTTTTAACCAAAATCATATGGTACAGAGACTGTGTGAAAGCAAAGAAGGTAGTCAGTATGGACAAGTTGTCAGCCACATTCCAAATCTTGATCTGAATGAGAACATTTCTACTGGATTAAAACAATGTGTATGCAGTATTTGTGGAAAATTCTTTGTACGTCATTCCTTCCTTAATAGGCACATCCTAGCTCACTCAGGATACAAACCATATGGAGAGAAGCAATATAAATGTGAACAGTGTGGGAAACTCTTCGTTTCTGTTCCAGGTGTTAGAAGACACATGATAATGCACAGTGGAAATCCAGCTGATAAATGTACGATATGTGGGAAAGCTTTTCATTTTCTCAATTCAGTTGAAAGACATCAGAGAACTCATACAGGAGAAAAACCCTATGAATGTAAACAATGTGGTAAAACATACACTGTTTCCGGTTCTTGTCTAATACATGAAAGAACTCACACTGGAGAGAAACTCTATGAATGTAAGGAATGTGGGAAAACACTCAGATTTTCTTGTTCTTTTAAGATGCATGAAAGGACTCACACTGGAGAAAGATGTACCAAGTGTGATAAAGCCTTCAACTGTTCCACTTCCCTTCATGACCATGGAAGCATTCATACTGGAGAGAGATCCTATGAATGTAAACAATGTGGCAAAGCCTTTAGTCGTTTGAGTTCCCTTTGTAACCATAGAAATACTCATACTGGAGAGAAACCCTATAAATGTAAACAATGTGACCAAGCCTTCAGTCACCTCAGTTCCCTTCACCTCCACGAAAGAATTCATACTGGAGAGAAACCCTATAAATGTAAACAGTGTGACCAAGCCTTCAGTCACCTCAGTTCCCTTCACCTCCACGAAGGAATTCATACTGGAGAGAAACCCTATAAATGTAAACAATGTGACCAAGCCTTCAGTCACCTCAGTTCCTTTCACCTCCACGAAAGAATTCATACTGGAGAAAAACCCTATGAATGTAAGAGATGCGGTAAAGTCTACACTCATTCCAGTCACCTTATTCACCATGAAAGAAGTCATGATATAGAGGTTGGGTGTAGTGACTCAGCCTATAATCCCAGCACTTTGGGAGGCCAAGGTGTGTGTATTGCTTGAGCCCAGGAGTTCATAACCAGCCTGGATTAAAACAATGTGAAACAACCTGGGCATCATGGTGAAACCCTGTCTCTACAAAAAATAAAATAATGCCAGGCGCGGTGGCTCACGCCAGCTACTCGGGAGGCTGAGGCAGGAGAATGACGTGAACCCGGGAGGCGGAGCTTGCAGTGAGCCGAGATCGCACCACTGCGCTCCACCTTGGACGACAGAGGCAGACTCCGTCTCAAAACAAAAACAAAGAAAATAATTAGCTGGGCATGGTGGCACATTTCAGTTGTCTTAGTTCTTTTTCAAGGACATAAAAAGCCACGGGGAGTTGGGGGGGAAGTCCTGTGCATGCGGATCACAAGGTCTGGAGATCGAGACCATCCTGGGCAACATGGTGAAACCTCGTCTCTACTAAAAATCCAAAAATTAGCTGGGTGTGGTAGCATATGGTTGTAATCCCAGCTACTCAGGAGGCTGAGGCAGGAGAATCACTTGAACCCAGGAGGCGGAGGTTGCAGGGAGCCAAGATGGTGCCACTGCACTCCAGCCTGGCGACAGAGTGAGACTCCATCTCAAAAATAAATAAATAAAGTCTCTTGAATGTAAGAAATGTGATAAAACATTTACTGTTTCCCATTCCCTCATAAACATGAAAGAGTTCACACTGTAGAGAAACCTTAAGAATGTAGGAAGTGTGGTCAATCCTTCAGATGTTCCTGTTTTTGAAGATTTGGGAGGACTCGGAGTGCAGAAAAGCCTTTTGAATTTAAATTTGTGGTAAGGCCTTCAGTTGTGTTAGTTCCTTTTGAAGACATCAGCTCAGTCCTGAGAAAAACCCTATGAATGTCCAGAATGTGGGAACGTTTCATTTCTCTCATCCCCACTCAAGGACAAATGAAAATGCACACTGTAGCTGGCTGGACCTTGTAAATACAAGAACGTACACAGGATTCAAACTCTAATAGTTTAGAAACTGCAAGAATATTTTCAGTTTTCACATTTACTTGAAAAGTCACGTGAAAACTCCCACTGGAAAGAAGTTCTATAAGTGAAGCTTTTCTAATTTGGAAAGCCTGATGCAAATTAATTATCGTGTAGTGTTTGAAAAAAATGTATGAAGTGTTACACAAGTTACTAGTATATTTTTATCAGTGGCTCATTCTTAAAGAGTCTTGAGTATGCATTTCACCTTGTTTTGCAGGGAAACCTTGAGGTGAGGGTTCTGTAAGTGCTCTTTAAGCAGTAGTACTTGAATTTCATAGATAATGATGTTTTCTTCAGTTTGTTGGTAGAATTTTTGTCTATTCATTTGATAATGTGCTGGATTCATGGTTGAATTTGGATGTTTTTCTAATATGTAGGTAAGTTTAATTTTTTTATTTCATTATTATTTCTTTTTGAGATGGAGTCTCACTCTGTTGCCCAGGCTAGAGTGCAGTGGTGCGATCTCGGCTCACCGCAACCTCCGCCCCCAGGGTTTAAGCAATTCTCCTGCCTCACCCTCCTGAGTAGCTGGGACTACAGGCGCCCGCCACTACATCCAGCTAATTCTTTGTATTTTTAGTAGAGGCAGGGTTTCACCATGTTGGCTAGGCTGATCTTGAACTCCTGACCTCATGATTTGCCCGCCTCGGGCAAAGTGCTGGGATTACAGGCACGAGCCACCGCGCCTGGCCAGGTAAGTTTCATTTGTATGTATTGTCCTGTGATTAATGGACCAGTGAATAATGATTGTGAATTCTTGGGATTGTCTTACTAGCCTCATTTGGCAAATTTTGATTATCCCTTGTCCATTAAACACATTCCGCCTATTTTTATTAAAGGATAAACTACTCTTGATGTAAATATATTTATTTTTTCTAATAATGAGTTGGTATTAATTCCCTAAGTACATACAGTTTTACCTGGGAGACGGAGCTTGCAGTGAGCCGAGATCACACTACTGCACTCCAGCAAGGGTGACAGGAGCGAGATTCTGTGTCAAAAAAAAAAAAAAGAAAAAAAAGGAAAAAAAAGGAACATCCTCACTTTTTTAATGCTATACCATTCTCTGCTCCTAACGGTGCCAGTAGTCAGGGTGCTAATTCCCTTCACTCTCCAGTAGAGGTGCATGAGGCACGGCTATTGAAACAATTGTAGCACGAATGGAATGGACTATTAGCTGTGGCTGTATTACCCTCCTCTCAGGGTTCTTCGACCCAGCCTACACCCCCTGCTGTGTGGGGCTGGCTGTTTCCCGTGGCAGTAACACATCAGCAGTCACCTGGGTCATCGGAACACCGTGTGAGCTGGCGATGGGAGGGCTTCCCTTTGGTCTGCAGAGTGTTTTTTTTTTGTGGTCTTCAAGTGTTGTCATCTTCTCCCACACTAAAATGCTCTCATCTCCTAGACATCAATGTTTAATTACCCCAGCATGACCTTTGGCCTGTGCTGAGCGAGCAGTTTGAGCCACAACGATGAATGCACAAAGCACAGCACATAAGCCAGCACTTAGAGTCCTAATTAGCAGAGAATCAGAAGCTGTATCTGTGGTCGCATCTCTGCTCTGGTCACCATCTCTCTGTATGCTACAAGGGCAATAGAAAATTGTGAACATTGTGTTGTATACACTCCAAGACAATATTAGTTGCCTTGATGTGGAGCAGCTGGCAGAAGTAGTGGCCTTGTTGTTTGCATTTCTTATTGTGTGTGTCTGCTGACTGCTCCCTTGCTGTACACACCTTACACCTCTCTGCTACCTGCTGTGGGCTGACTGTTCCATAACACATCAGCAGTCACCTGGGTCAGAACCGTGAGCTGACGTTGGGCGTTCCCTTTGGTCTGCACAGTGTTTTGTGGTCTTCAGGTGTTGTCATCTTCTTCCACACTAAAATGCTGTCATCTCCTAGACATCAATGTTTAACTGCACCCCAGCATGACCTTTGGCCTGTGCTTAGCAGGCAGTTTTGAGGCCCTGGCTTATGAATGCACAAAAGCACAGCACATAAGCCAACACTTAAGTCCTAATTAGCAAGAATCAGGCTGTATCTCTGTAGTCCCTGCATCTGCTCTGGTCACCATCTCTGTGTGCTTAGGGCAGCCATGTGAACATTATTAATATAATTTTACACTCCAAGACAATAGTTATCATGTAAGCAGAAGTAGTAGCCTTGTTTGTTTCTTGTGCTGCTGCTCCCCTTGCTGCTGTACCATACACCCTCCTGATGAGGTGTACATCTATGGTGCCTCATGGTTCAGGCACTGCTGAGTAAAGAAAATGGGAAGAAATAGTTTGATATTAGCCCCTACCAAAGCATATGAAGAAGCATCTCAGCTGCTTTCATTGAAAAATTCCTGACCAGTGTGTGGGCTTTTCTTATAACTGCTGCTTATCAGCATGTCAAAAGTCTCATCTTTGAACTGCAAGTCTTGATGGCCTTAGTTATAGTGGCCTTACTGCATGTGGAGCTAACCCCAGGAAGATGGAGTGACACTCTCTGGAGGATTGATGGGCTTCTGAACTCTTTCCTTTAACCATGCAGAGAGTCTACACTGCCAGTGATCATGTGCCACAACTCTATAGATGTAGAAATTCAAAATATTCTGAAAAAGTTTCCATTGAAAGGAAATAGAAAAGCGGTCTGGTGCCACGCTCCGGTTAAGAGAACTAGTAGATGGCTCACAAGAACACTCTGTCGCTACTGTCTGTGCCTCTGTCTCAGCAAATATCCTGATCCTTCAGTTTTAAGGGTGCAGGCCCATTTTCCTCCCTTTCTTACTGGTAGTTCTCAAGATTACTGTATGAAATGCTGGGAAGGCAATATCCTGATAATCAAGTGACATTGTTCAGAACAGCCCAGGCTCTGTTATAGTCCCTGCTCGAAACAGAATGGCCTTTAATGCTTGTGTCCAGCAAACCACATCCTGGGAGCAAACTCAATGTGGGCTTCTTTCTGAGGTCCCTCAGTTGCAGTGCAAGTGAAGCATTTATAGTCAAAACTCCATCCATCTGCTCTGGGTAGCCTTCCTGATCTTGTGGTAGTGGTTCATATTGAATCCTAGACTTCTGTTGTCTTTTGTTTGCTATTTGTAAGTAATAAATTCACTTCCTGGAATTTATCTATGAATGTATTTGGCCTCATTGTACTCAGAAAAGTTGGTAGCCATTGCACAGTGAACCCGCTTCATAATTGGTGAAAACACCTATGGCCACCTTGTGCCACAGCAAGGAGGTTCATTCAGCCAAACATAAACTTCATGTTTATAAAACCCTGTAGCACAATTATTACCATGTGGGAGGCCTTTAACAATGGTGATGCTGATCTGAAAAACTCTGAAGGAAGAAATTTACCCAAATGGGTTGGGTACATAGGAATTCCTCCTAATTCCAAGAAACCCTTACTCCCATCCACCTAAAATGAGTGGAGAGGCCGGGTGCGGTGGCTCAGGCCTGTAATCCAAGCACTTTGGGAGGCCGAGGTGGGCCGATCACAAGGTCAGGGGTTCAAGACCAACCTGACTAACATGGGGAAGCTCCATCTCTACTAAAAATACAAAAATTAGCCAGGCGTGGTGGCAGGCACCTGTAATCCCAGCTACTCGGGAGGCTGAGGCAGGAGAATCGCTTGAACCTGGGAGGCGGAGGTTGCAGTGAGTCGAGACAATGCCACTGCACTCCAGCCTAGGTGACAGGGCAAGACTCCGTCTTGGGGGGGGAAAAAAGTGGATAAGAACTGAAACAGGTTTACAATTTCAACTAATTGGAAATGCAAGTTTACAAAAGTAATATTTAAAATAAAAGGTTAAATGAGTGCTCATTGAATTTTATGCCTCCACAAAATAGGTTGTGAGTTAACGTCCACATTTATTGAAAGCCACCAAAGTTGAGAAAATTCACAACCATTCCGTGTCTGAAATTCACATGTGGCTCAAATGAGAATTGTACCTGGGGATACCTCAAAATTTAAATATGGTATCCCCAATGATATTATGAGGAATTACTGTACATAAATCAGGTTGTCTTCCTTTAACTCTGAAAATCATATTATCTTGCCTAAATTCTCCATAACGCATTGCTCCGCAGTATCCTATAGTGGACATGGCT